ATCTCTCTCTCTCTCTCTGTGCCAAGCTACAGAAGAAATACCTTATCTGGGAGGAAGAAAGTCTCTCTCTCTCTCTCTCTCTCTCTCTCTCTCTCTCTCTCTCTGTGTGTGTGTGTGTGTGTGTGTGTGTAAAACAACAGGTGAAATGAAACGGTTTTTACCTTTGTCGTAGCAGATGCAGATCCCAGTGCTCGATCCGTAGACCTTCACCTCATCCGTGTACAGTATCAACTCGACCCCTGTGTGTTTGAACTTTGAACCCGTGACCAGCGTCCTGGTAGCCGACTGTTGTCTGTCTGTCATAGGTCTGTGTAGGCTGTCGAGTCTTGAGCCGTAGTTCTGTCGAGTAGCAGTCAAAGCTGGGTAGTGGTCGTAGTCATTGTAATTCTGAAAGGTCAAGATCGTAGCTGCTACCAAGGGGGCAAAACACACAGTGCACACCACGCATCAGCGAATGCACACAACTCTCAGAAGAGTACAACAGAAGACGCGCGATGCGGGATGTCAATTAGGAAGTAGTCGCATCATAAAGGCTGTCTCTTATACACATCTAGATGTGTATAAGAGACAGGCTTTCAACTATTATATCCTACCTATTCTTGAGGAACAAACTACAAAACAAACAACACTAAAAACAAGCCTAACCATTCACACGGTAAAATTGTCGTACGAGGCCCGCGGCCAGCTTCCACACTGACTCCTTTTTGGCCGCGAAATTATCCAGGACCTTCACAAAAAGGTTCACCGGGTAGCCTTTCCCCTGATAAAACATTTTCAGGAGAATCACCTGCCCTAGGATTTTTTCGCGACTGGCCGAGTTCCGATCAATTCTGTGAAGCCAGCCTGCAATAGCTGCTGCTTTTTGACTGCGGCTAGACCAGGATGTGAAGTCCTGCCCTGCCCGAATAGTCAAGTCCCGACGCAGCCTGAGATCGTCTTCATCACGTATCCTCTGAAAAGAACCCACAAACGGCTGTCTGTCCCGGATCTTCAGAGCACAACCCAAAAACTCCCAACCCCCGGACCCATCGTCCGTCCGTTTCAGGGACAGGGTCCGGGGGTAGCATTTTTCAAACTTTTTCCGGATCATCGTAGCGGTCCTGAGGGATGGTCCATCCTCACGCTTACACAGTACAAACAAAGAAACATCGTCCATAAGGCGGATCCCATGTACCAGCCTACGCGAATTACCCAACGACTGCAGAAAGCAAAACTCAGCGTGGGCGCACATGATACAAGCAAGCGAGGGGCTCATACTGCCTTCCATTGGGATACCCAGGATCTGTGTCAGTAGAATATCCGATGCTTTAGTATAGGTGTGCGACAGACTGAATTCGACAAAGCTGCGAATAGTGTCAAAGGTAATCAATGTCCAACCCAAATCGGCTGACCTTCTGCTGGTGGATGCTCCACGTCCCTGAGGATTAACCCAAACACTACTCCTACCGTGCTGTGCATGCCAATCTAAAAGCCAGAGTAGTGCATTCAAAATAGCACTGTGAGGAGGCCTAGAAAACATATCTTTAATATCAAATGAAAAGCCTACCACTTTCCGGAAGCGTCCTCGCTTTGCGCATCTATTGATCTTACCCAACTCTCCAACCAAATCTCCCACTGATCTCAAATTGAAGTGAAAACTAGGAGGAAGAGCATTTAAGATACATTTCAGACTTTTGGCTACTTTTCGACCAGCAGGTGCACTCGGTTCGCTGAAGGTGGGACATATAGGCCGGAATCTATCCAAGTCCTTGTGCTTGGGTATAGCATATCCCTTGCCAACTGTCCCTTGGGGCAACCACCTTCCCAAACTTCGTAAACCTCGGGAACAATACTCCTGTTTAGCCAAATTCAGGGTCCCGTCTTCCGACTCCGACTGTACCACATAACATTCGCTTCGTATGAACAGGTCCTGCATAGCCTCGTCGTACAAACGGGGGCAGAGCACAATAGTTTCCCCCGGATTACGATCAGCCGGAGCCAGAACCAGTCCCTCATACAACTTCTGAACAGAAAGGACATCCTCACAAGTAAGCTCTCCAGGGTAATTCTTGGTACCGTTCATACAGGTGGAAGCATCATCAATACTAAAATTCCAAAATCCGTCAAAACCAATCTGCTATGTCGAACAACATTCAGTCAATTCCACTCGCAACAACTCGGTTCTGCCCACTTTTGAAGCTCTGGGCACATTACAGGCATTACGAATGAAAATAGGCACACGGATGTCCTCCCAGATCCTGCATCTAACGTGTCTGTTAACCCTTGGTAGCGGGAAGTCTGCGCAAGTGCAGACTGACACCTCACGACGCGCAAAACGCCGGTGGTTATGTAACATGTCAGCAACAGTCGGATTTTTGGTCCAAACTGTTCTGACTTTCCGCTTCAGAGTTTCTCGAACGACGAAAGGAATCTGGAGGCCATCGATCTTACCATCCAGAAGTCGACGCACTCCCCGAAGACTAATACGGTCGTCATATCGAATTCGAGCAATCAGTTTCTTACTCAAGTCAAAACCATAACCGTTCTTAATAGCGACATTTACAATACGTCTAAGTAAAGATTGAGTGTGTTTGCGACTGAAGTCTTTAATGACAGGGTATAGACCAATCAGGAAGCAAAGGTCACACTTAGCGACAACAACTCTCTTGTTCTTAAATTTTAACAATGAAATCAGAAAGCGTTTGCCCTTGGCGTTAACTTTCCTCCATTTTTTCAAATTCACAATCTGGATCGTACAACCTTGCTCAAGACGATATTTGCAATCTCGCAACAAACAACGCCGGCCTTCACTCACCACGACAGATTCACCAAACAGTCTCTTGACTCGTTTCCAACCATCAAACCACCCGTTACCCTCTGTTGTCGTCAACGTAAGTTGTCTAATATGCCTATTATCGTATTCGGATAACTGATGGTTCAAGCGAACACCCGGTGGATCATTGTTGACGCGGAAGGTAACGATTCGAACATCCTGCTTACAATTGCTATTCCTACGTAAGGTGATTCGCTGGTCAATCTTCCTCTCCCGTTTGCCGGCTCTTTGCCGTCTGGTGTTGGAAGCTTTCCGTCCAACAGTATTCAAGACGGGACACCAGTGCTTGATAAAATAACTTTCGATTGCGGTGAGCTCCTCGGCAGTCGTGTGAACTAAAGGAAGTAAGACATAGTTATCCCTCCCAAAGCTATGCAGCCAACGATGGAAATGGTTGCCGGTACTATCCTGTAAAATCTTCACTCGGTGTTCTCTCCATCTAATATCAATATCACGTTCTGTTTTTCCGATATACACAGATTTACAGTATGGAGAGATACCAACATACACACACGATTTGCCCGAATCGAAACCCCCTTTCTGATCGATACACCACCTCATCCAATTGGCAAGAAACTTATTACCCCATGGTATGCAACCACGTACAGTCAGCGCAAAAACAACCCATCTCAAGCTAGCCTCTAAATCCGAGTTTACTCCCACAGATTGCTTACGATCACGGATGAGACTACGACACAATCCCCAAAGGCGCTTAATCGGCCAGTTTCTTCAAGCATCACTTTCGCCGTCTTCCTCAGACGCCTCCGTAGACGAGGAAGCTGTGTCCGAGCTACTTACCGAAGTAGCCACTGAATTTGGTGCAGCTGGAGAAGCCTTACGATGGTCGACGACCTTAGCTGCCCGTCGCTCGGCAATATCTGTAATAGCTTGTTGCTTACGGATATACGGTACTTGCTCTCGCCTGCAAATCTCTTTCACTTCCTTGTAGTCCAAGGTCTCAAGTTGCTCCTTCGTATTCCGGATGAAGTGTGCCCTCGCATCCGGTCTCACTTCTGGAACGATCTCCTTCGTAATGTTACGGGGTGCAAGCGGGAGCCGAGGTCGACCTCTCCCTTTCGCTGATCCGTACATCTTGCGAGCGGTACGCGTGAGCGGAGTGATAACCGGTGACAATATTTCCTCATCCTCCGAGGTAGCGGAGCTGATCGCCATACTTTCCGTCGCGACTTGAATCTCAGCTACTTCGTCCTCGGTATTGAGATCTTCAGGGTGCGGCCGTCGCAGCTTCCGCTGCAAAGTCCTTTTCTTCTTCATACGATCGCGTTTCTGTTCGTCGCCTCGTTCTTGACGTCCGACGCCCCATCTCCTTGAAAACTGCATGTCGATGATCCTGGCGATACTCAGTTCATTCTCGCGTATTTCACATTCCCTCTTCTCTCTCTTGCGTCTCGCCTTTTCCTCTTTCTCCAGCGCCTCTCTCCGCTGTTTCCTAAGTTCTTCCTTCTCCTTCCGTTTTTCTTCCTTTGCTGCCTCTTTATCTAGTAACATCGCCACTAGTGCACCCACGGTGTCTTTTTCCTTCGGTGGTTCGTACCGTGGAACATAACGGTCAGCAGACGGCAATCTTCTAGGAGCATCCCACCGATTCCGGCGAGGCGAAGCGGATCGTGCGCGATTCTCCACAAGTCTGTCGTCCGTATCTGGCAGTCGCCTACGGTCAACTTTCTCCTTTTCTTCCTTCCAAAACAAACCACAGTCACGTGCGAAGTGACCGTAGTGCTTGCAAGAATAGCACTGTGGTGCATTCCGTCGTCCGCCAAGTCCTCCATCACCGCCTCCTCCATCCCCACCTGGGGGAGGTTGACTAGTAGAAGCCATAATTCAGCCTCGCAGCGACAATACCAGGATGCAGAAAGAACGAAGGTGCGTATCTCCCGACAGCTTCAAAAACTTCAGTTCCTCTGGTATCTTCAGTGTCTTCGGTAACTCGGTAACTCGGTACCTCGATAACGTCACGTCCACCAAATCGGAGCAGCAATCCTCCGGCGGTTATCGTGTGCTTGCGCAAGGGGCAAAACACACAGTGCACACCACGCATCAGCGAATGCACACAAATCTCAGAAGAGTACAACAGAAGACCCGCGATGCGGGATATCAATGAGGAAGTAGTCGCATCATAATGGTCCCATCCCACCGCCCTTCCTTCGTACCGTCAACCCCAAGACACCACCGAACATTCCGACAAAACTGATGGC